GATGACCAAGTCCAGGGTGTGTCCTCTGTTGTGAGTTGGCTGTGTGACATGTTGACTAAAGTCCATATAACTCAGAATATTTAAAAACTCCTTTGAAAAAGGATCAGAAGGATTATCTATATGTCGATTAAAATCACCGGCTAAAATGATCCTTTCAAAGAAGTTGTGCAGGATTGATAAAAACTCTGAAATTTCTTGAATAAAAATGGCAATCTGCTTAGGAGGCCGATAAACTGTGACATAAAATCTGAGGAGAGCTAAAAACTGCTGCTGTATATTCAAAAGTGGTAAAATGGTCAAATAAAACTGGTTTGGCAGAAAGTATTGATGAACTAAGAAAAGCAGTACCGCCTCCCCTTTTGCTACTCCTCGTTGAAAAATTAAAATTAAAATCTGGCGGAGAAGCCTCTGTGAGAACAACAGGTGCATCTGAACTCAGCCATGTTTCTGTTAAAAGTAGACAGTGAAGATTACGATCTAAAATCAGGTCATTTATTAAAAACGTTTTGTTCAGCAGAGAACGAACATTTAAAAGAGCCATATTAATAGTAACTGGTGAAGGAGTGACTGTATTAACTGAAGGTGGGACTTTTGGTAACTGTTTTATATTATTGGTGTTGTTTTTGTTTGGTTTATGACTGTTTGTCCGCTCTCTGCTGATAATAACAGGTATGAATAAGGTATGGCGAGGTCCAAGTCCGACATGTGATTTACTGTTAGACTCAGGGCTGGGTTGGTAGGAGCAGGGACCAGCTACACATCAGGAAGTGGGAGCAGATGAGGCCGGTGGAGTGGGTGGGGGGTGGGGGGGGGGGGGGGGGTCGTGGACAAGCCAGGTTCATGGTTAGAGTACGGGTCCCCTGTCTATTTAGGTGAGGTGAAGCCCATCCGCTCCAAACAGGTGTCTCCTGCCCCAGAAAATGTTAAAATTGTCTATAAAACCAACATTACAGGGCACCTAAAGGATCTTCTGACATCCTTTAACTCTGCAGTCAGAGACGCTAGGGTTTCCTATTTTTCCAACCTGGTGTCCCAGAGCAAAGGGAACCCCAAGGTGCTGTTTAACACCATCAGTAGCATCGTCTCTCCTGCCTCTCCTCCAGCCTCCAGCCAATCTGTTGCAGACTGTGAGAACTTTCTGTCTTTCTTTGTGGACAAAGTCAATAAGGTTAGATCTAGCATCTCTCCTTCAGCCTTATCGCCACCTCTCCTGACTCCAACCAGGCCCATCATCCTAGATCATCCCTGTTCATTTTACTCCTTCTTCCATCTCAGGAACGTTGCTAAGCTGAGTCCCATTCTGTCCCGCTCTGAACTTGAGACAGTTCTCCACACCTTCATCTCCTCACGCTTAGACTACTGTAACTCTCTTTTCACGTGTCTGAGCAGAACCTCCCTGAACCGTCTACAGGTGGTTCAGAATGCCTGTGCTCGGCTTCTGACCAAGTCCTCCAAACACACCCACATCACCCCGCTTCTCCTCCAGCTTCACTGGCTGCCAGTCAACTTCAGGGTTCATTTCAAGATCCTGGTTCTGGTCTATAGGGCCTTACATGGACAAGCACCATCTTACATTGGTGATCTTCTTAGTCCCTACACCCCCAGCAGGTTCCTGAGGTCCAGTGATCAAAGCCTACTGGTTGTGCAGCACCAGGCTAAAGACCAAAGGTGACAGATCATCTGCTGCTGTGGCCCCCAGACTCTGGACCTCTCTCCCCCTGAGCCTGAGATCACTGGACTCAGTGGACTCCTTTAAAAAGCAGCTGAAGACTCACTTGTTCAAGCTGGCTTTTCTATGACCTTCTTCACCACTCTCTCTTTATTCTGCTCTCCCCACCTTTTCCACCTTCCTCAGGATCCACTGATTTCCCTCTTTCCTGTTCACTCTCTCTCTTTCTTTACAATTTTTTAAATAACAATTGTCTATTGTTTGCTTATTTTAAATAAATTGTTTGCTTATTTTAAATAATTTTTTTTACTTTTTTACTTTTATTTTCTAAATTCTTTTTTTTATAATTTTACATTTTTTGTTTTTGTGAAGCGCCTCATGATTTTTATGTTGAGAGGCGCTAAAGAAATGATATTTTCTTCTTCTTCTTTACTGTGTGAAGTTCCTTCAGACGACTCTTGTCGTGATTTGGCGCTATATAAATAAACTTGAATTGAATTGAAGTAAGATTTCTTTCCTCATCTTTCCAAGAAAGAACATCCAATGGTGATTAGCTTTTAAAATTTATTTATCGAGCTGTAACGGAAAGGCGACCCAAACTGTGATGAGCAAGGATGAAAAGTGGAAATGCAGCATTAGCTGGTTCTTCTCCACTCACCTGATCACACATTTTTCATCCCGTCTTCCTCCACCTCACGGTGTGTTTACGGCAGTCAGCGGTAGCGGTTAAGTCAGGAAAATCAGTGCATCCAGATGAAAATCGTAAAATGCAATTGTCACAGGAAATCAAAGGCTGATGCTAACAATTTTTTAACTGTTGTTAGCATGCTAGCCCCAGAACGTTCTGCTTCCAACAGCTATAAACCTGACATTATGGACAGCAGATGTTCTAGACTGGTACAAAGGAGAACACGGTATGCTTGCGTAGTTCTTTGGACACATTATTTGGGGTTTTAATTTGTTTTTCTAACATGATATCTGTCTTCAGTATTTATTTCACCAAACTTTAAGTTTGTGTTCGCTAGAAAAAGCTTCAGACTGCTAGCCAAGTGAACTAGACCAAATCCTTGCTCTGCAAAATTTGGTCTAGGAAACTCTGCAGCCCCTAGCAGCATTCTGGCTGGCCAATCACAGCTCTCTAGAGGGGTTTGAATCCTATAGAGTGCTGTGATTGGTCCACAATGGTGGGCTAATCACAGCGCTCTATCTGCTTTGCGGGCCAATCACAGTGCTTTATCCACTTTGAGGGCTAATCAGGGCCCTTTATTCGTCTGGTGGGCGGGATGATGCAACAGAGTGGAACCAGATGGCGACAGCTCCTTTGAAACGGCTTTTACATCATTTCTGGACTATTAGGACTTGGGTTTTATTAGAATCAGGAGCAGAAAGATGTATTTAAGTTCTTTTTTAAGAAAAAGGACATATTTTCGCCTTCTTCAACAGTGGACCACCTTGTTTACCGACATCCGTTGCGGTGAGTACATCACGTTGTTCATTGTCCAGTAGCATGCAGAGATCATTTGAAAGACAATGGTAGAACCCGCCCCACGACCGAGAACCATCAATGGAGCGTTGCCAGGCTACCAGACTTCTGCTTCAAGAGGAGGTGAAGCCCCAGTTGGAGCATGGCCTTTTATTCCAGACCAGGCATCAGCACCAAGGCTCAGGAGCAGTGATAAGATCCTGGCGTGGACGGGACTATCTTCATGGTCTGGTTTAGCTGTAAGTTGGCTCACTGACTTTATCCTTGAAACTGTTGATTTGGGGAAGGGAAATAAAGGATCGTTGTGGAATTTCAGTCATTTCCCAGTTCCCCAACAAGATGTTCTGTCACCAGCCACCACTGGAAACAAGATGAACATCTACGACTGATGAGTGTTGGGAGTATACCGATGCATTGGTCTAATTCTAGTTGGGAGTCACATTAAAGATGTAACTGAGCTGCATCAAACACAGAAATGGCTAAAAGTCGGTCAGTTTTGCAGATATTCAGCTATCCTGTTAGTAACGGAGGCACGCAGAGCTAAGGCGAGTGATGCTGCATCACAGCAGCATCAGGAAATATTGCTTTAAAACTCTGGAATGGGAAGTGTTGGGAATTCCAGACTTTCCTTTACCAAAAGCGGGTCAGTCCAGATGGATTCTACAGCAAACCGCTGAGCTGACACGAACATCAGCTGATTCACACGTTCACTGTCAGCAGTGTGCACCATGTTAGCTTTGCTTTAACTCAGTTTGTTTCTCCTGGAAGCATCAAAACCCCACAAACAATCCGAAAACATTATTATTTTCAAATGATTGAAAAATGTCACATTACGTTCATCCCAGCAGAAGTCATGTGATGTTGACCTTTGACCCCTTAAAGGGAAATCATCAAAACCCTTAAAGTTTCTCTTTTTTTCATCAATTTTAACTTTAGTTCCTTTAAATATTATTTAGTTGATATGGTACAAGTTCCAGACTTAAGCGAGTGATGAGATGTGCTGCTTAGACCAGCTCCACGTGCTGATGGGAGGCCTCCAGCGTGCATACATGACCTCCTCCAGCTTCACAAGGTGTGCTGCAGGCTGTGGTGCTCTTACATAACCCAGCCCTGTGCCAACTCACCAGGGAGAGCTCAGCTCAGCGTCTCCTGCAGAGATCTTCAGACCAACACACTCACACTTAAACTGTTTTAATCACAAACGAAGCGAGGTTGCTGGCTGTTTTTACACTTAAGAGAAGGTTCTAGACCTTCTAGTGATGTCTGGCCTGTCGATGTTAGAATAAGCATGAAATATTAACTCTGAATGTGGCTGATGTATTTGGCTAGCATGCAAACTCAGAGGTGGCCCAACATGAAGAGGTCTTCTATCTGAGGTACCACCAGAACCCAGCCAGAACCACCCATGAAGAACAGATGAACTCACACCACATCTCTTCACCCAGCTTTTATTTTTGGTGGTGGGGGGTACCTGCAGCAGACTTTGCTGCAGAGTCACAACTCCTGCCGGACGTAGACACGTGACCCATCTGCACCGAACAGGGCTGGGTCTCCACCGGAAAACAGACAGAAACTTTCAGATGCCGCCTTTTGGCCCTGAGCCAGGGGGAGGACTCGGCCCTGGCGGGCCTCTGTCCTCTGCGGCTGTCCTTGGGAGGTCCAGCCGGGACTGGCGCTAAATCTGCGCCGCCGCAGCAGAGGCTGAATTCCTCCCTGATGCAGAATCACGTCCAGCCTCTCAGACACAAAACCTCTGATATCACCGGAGGGCCCGTGAACGCAACCCAGTGGGCGTGCACGCGCATTTACTCGGACTAACTAACGGTAAACCGGAGGATTCCGCCTCACCTGTTATCTTCTCCGCCGTCGTGTCCTTTTCGCTCATCCTCTCCCGCAGTTGGACCTCCTCCCGAGCCTTCTTCTCTCCGATGCAGTTGCACCAGGCTATGGTCCTGATCAGAGCGGTTCTCCGAACCGAACCACAGGAGGAACCAAAGGACTAGAAAACGCTCCGGTTCGGTGCTTCCTTCGACCTCCGGTCACTTTCCAGCCTCCGGTCCACTCAGAAGTGTGGAGACGGTTTGGGATGGGGGTGGGGGGGTAGGAGGGTCTAAGGATACAGGACGGCCCCGCCCATTTCAGACAGAATTCCAACTGAATCCGGTCCAACAGCTGATCCATGAACATCTGGATCGGGGGTTTAAGGGGTGGCCCGCGGGTCGTTTACGGACCTGATGTGTCCAGATGTTTACTATATAAGAGGCTGAACAAAAATATTCAGATCAAGTTTTTTTTATGGGAGAGATCAAAGGCAGGTTACCATGGCAACCATTAAACAAACCCCTGTCATGCAGACTGGTGACCTGATACCGGACTCACAATCCATCCATCAGAACCACAAATATCTGCAGATCCGTTAAGATGCAAACGTTCAACAAAGTTCGGACAGAAATGGTTTTCATGTTTTTTATTCTGAAAGTCTCATTTCGGAGGCTGCAGGTTTTCTACTGATATAAATGAGACAGAGCTACTTTAGTTCACAACAGGAAACCGATCTGTGAGCCATGTTGGGTCTCAAAATGACCCAGGAGCCCTATAAATGACCAAACACATTCATAACAAAGCCCTAAGACTGATTTGTCCCGTTAAGCCGGGCGGACACGGTACAACTTTTTCACTTTTTTGAGCCGATTCTTTCCTCGTGCCAGAATCTACAAAACCAGGCCGAGTTTTGGGCTGAGCGTCGTTATACGGGGGTTACGAGAGGTGATTAACACCAAGTGAACAGCTACCGATCAGCAATCGTAAGCTCGCACAAACTTCTGGTGTGTTTGATATTTTGCTCGTCCCTCGTGAGGGTATCGCACTGTTGCAGCGGCGCTGCGAGCAGCTGTGACCCAAAAAGTACAGAAACCGCTCACGGCACATGCGCAAATGTGCATCAGCACGGCTCGCCAGCTATTCCCCTATTAACACAGGTCAGTCGTTTTTATTTATACACATTTTCACACACAATGACTAGGATTGTCAAGAAAGCATGTTTATTTCAAATTAAACTGACAAACATTGATTTACGTTCGTTCGTCTTCCTCCTCCAACCCCATAAATCCCTGTGTCCTGCAGCCCTCCCGGAGGACAACAGGCATCATTAACAACACGAAAACAGTCTGATGTGTTTTGTAAAAACTGCTATTTTTAGCACATTTGTAGGTCCGACGTGTTGCTAGACGTACAGTGTGAGCACGACTTGTGAGATTTGCTCTGCGGGGAAGTCGTACAGTTTCAGCTGAAGCACAGAGTCCGCCCGGCTTTAGCTCAACTGATCTGTGCATCACGAGCGTCAAATGTACAGCCGGCGGGCCAAACCCAGCCCGCTAGGGGCTTCAATGCGGCCCGTTGAATGAATTTTGAAGGTAAAACCAATACATAAAAATAACAATCCAATAAGCTTCATAAAAAGCTATTCCAAAGTCTTCCACTGGGGGTGCATAGAGTAAGTGAACCCGGGCGGACACTGTGTGACGCACGGGTGCCCAGTCCTGGTCCTGGAGGGCCATTATCCAGCAGGTTTTGTGGTTTCTCTGCTCCAACACACTTGATTCAGTGGTTGAATCACGTGCAACAGTTCATCAGGCTCAACATGATGAAACAATTAATTTGGAAAAAGAAGTCTAAGATCCAGCTCTCTTTTTTAAGTCTCCTCCCCCTGGAGTCAGACTCATTAATAAGCTGTGTGTGTGTGTGCGCGCGTGTGTGTGTATGTAGTGTGTGTGTGTGTGTGTGCTGGTTAGTATTTCAGGCTAACATTAGCAGTAGCTTGGCGCAGCATTGCTGGCCCAGCGTTTATACATTGTTGACCTTGGAGTAGGATGGAACATGTAGATTTAAAGTGACGGTGTGCATTTTTCCTGGCGATAGGGGGCAGTATATTCCTAACTGTCACAGCTGCCAGCCTGAAGAGGGAAAAAGCAGCCAGGATCACCCAGCTCTGGTGATTGACTGGACACCGCCCCTCCTCCTCCTCTCTTCCAGGCTGCAGAGGAACACAGCTGAGCTGAATCCTCCTGATGAGCCACACCTAGGATAAAAAGGATGTGCCTTCAGCAGTCTGGGAGGCAGCAGTGCAGGGGTTCTGCTGTCATCCAGGCCTCATTTTGTTTTCAACCCCTTCGAGACGAAGAGTTTTAACTTTTATAGTTTTAACTCTGAGTGATCCAGAGGGATTGTTTTAAAGGTTAACTCTGTGATACAATTTTATTGACTTTGGTTTTAAAACACCTTCGTGTGGGTAAAGTTTTTAAAATAAGCTTTTACCAGGTGTTTTAATCAGTAAATTGTTTGGGACTTTTATCGACTTTGGGCTTTTAGAACACCTTCGTTTCTGTAAACTTTTAATATAAGTTTCTAGGTGTTTTTATAGTTGATAATTCGTGATGTTAACCTTTTAGAGAGATCTGTTTGCTTGTGTTTTTAATACCTTTTTGTACAAATAAACCCATTTTAAACTCCGCCGCCAGTTTTTATGTTATCCCAATCCTTCACATTTTTACCATCTCAAGTCGGGGACGTAACATAAATGGGGGCTCGTCCGGGATATTTCATTTTAACAGCAGACCGTGAAGGAATGTACAATCCCTGGTGGTGGTATTTTAATGGTGTTTTATTTGTTTCAGGGTTTTAAACAACAGATGGCTTCGTGGATGACTGGCGGGTGCTTCTGGAGGCCCAGCTCCCACTGGAAGATCCACTGCTGGATGGGCTCACAGAAGCTTCGAGCCTGATCCAGCCCAAGGAGAGGAGGATAAATGACGTGGATCCAGAGATGACCCCCACAGGCAGGCTCAGGTGTTGCACCTAGCGGGTTAGCGTTGGTGGTTTACTCCACCATCTCGGGAGCACCCCAGGAAGGGCAGGGGCTAAACCCCCTCCAGAATGTGCAACAGCACATGTGCTTAATCTGCCCGCCTGCAAAGTGCATGAAGAGTCGGGAGTAGATGGCCTGTTTATTGTTTTGTCGGGGGTCTCTCTTGTTTTGACGTGATCCTCGCTTTTAAAGAAAAAGTTTTAAAAGTTACTAATGTCCTGTACTAACTTTTATCCTTTTTCTGTCGTTTATGTGTGGGGGTGTCACGGCTGCCAGCCTGAAGAGGGGAAAAAGCAGCCAGGATCACCCAGCTCTGGTGATTGACTGGACACCGCCCCTCCTCCTCCCTTCCAGGCTGCTGAGGAGCACAGCTGAGCTGAATCCTCCTGATGAGCCACACCTAGGATAAAAAGGCTGTGCCTTCAGCAGTCTGGGAGGCAGCAGTGCAGGGGTTCTGCTGTCATCCAGGCCTCATTTTGTTTTCAACCCCTTCGAGTAGAAGAGTTTTAACTTTTATAGTTTTAACTCTAAGTGATCCAGATGGATCGTTTTAAAGGTTAACTCTGTGATACAATTTTATTGACTTTGGTTTTAAAACACCTTCTGTTCCGGTAAAACTTTTAACATAAGTTTTAACCAGGTGTTTTATGTCAATGAATTGTTTTAGAACTTTTATCAACTTTGTGGATTTAGAAACACCTTCTGTTTTGGTGAAACTTTTAATAAGTTTTAACCAGGTGTTTTTAATGTTGGTAACTGCTCTTTTAATGTTAACCTTTTTGAGAGTATTTTTGTTTAGCATTATCTTAATAATGCTCGCCATCTGTTTGCTTGTGTTTTTAATACCTTTTTGTACAAATAAACCCATGTTAAACTCCTCCGCCAGTCCTTACGTTACCCCCATCCTTCACATTTTTACCATCTCATGTCGGGGACGTATCACTAACTCTTTGCAAGCGAGCTGTGTTTTGTGTTCCAGTCATCGACATATACATATATGGACAATGGGTTTCCATACACTCCAATAACACGTTTTTGAAGAAAAATGGGAGGTGGCCACCTCCACCATTTTGACCGTGTCACAGGTTCCGTCAAGCCCAGACAATTCCACAAAAGGGAAGAGAGGTGGAGCTGAGGGTGGGGCTGTAAGGCTGAGATCAAATGACGACACCCGGTTGAACTAGCTATAAGCTAACCCAAAGCTAACGCAGACGTGGGAGCTAAGCTAACGGAGGTAGCAACCTAGCTACAACCGGAGTTAACTGTGCCCAACACCAGAGCTTCTGAGTCAGAGATACGCCGGGCTGACCGCTGGGTAAAACCGGGTGGAACACAGAGGACTCCGGGAGCTCCACTAGCCGGCAGCCGCACAGCAGACAAGCGCCGCTGCGATCTGAGATGTGCAGAGCTGCCGCTGGGGAGAACCGGGTGGAAAGGTTTCCATCCCAGAGCTCCACAAGCCGGCAGCCCGCACAGCAGTCAGAAGCCGCGATCAGACAGAGATGCACCGAGCTGCGGGGAGGGGAGAACCGGGTGGAAAACATTGGTCTCTCGAGAGCTCCACAGGCCGATAGTCGGAACCCAGCTCCACCAACATGTAATATTTCAACCCATTTTCTAAAGTGCAGCATTATGTTAAATGCACTGGGTTTTACCTTATTACCTTTAAATTTCATGGTTAAACAGTACATGTTAAAATCTAAGCTCAGCTCGGCAGTGACCTAAAATACATAAATATAATTTTACTTACAGAAAAAAATGAAGTGGAGACTCCTTGGATGCTCTTTTAGTGCAATTAATGCCACAGCAAGTCATTTTGTCCAACAATTGCACAAATAATATCCAAAAAAGAACACACAAAAGCTACAACTAATGGTCTAAGTTGAGAGACTGAAACTGGCGGAACAGCTTTCAGGCGAGGCCGAGGCTCAGACTGAGGCCTTTCCCCGGAGCTAGCTCTGTGGTCACGTGGGTCTGATGCTCATTAATTATTCCGAATTTTAGGCTTTAAATACACTTAAACAGAAGAGTGAGAAAAAAAATTCACCCCCCTCAGAGTTGTCATGAGTGTAAACTAGATAATTTAAACTAAAAACATGTATGGAACCAGGCTGTAAACATGTTTATTTCTGCTGTGAATTTGGTATTTTTAACATGAGAGTCAATGAGGATTTGCTCGCGTCTGACACCAGCCCCTAGTGGATGAGGGTGGAACTGCAATTTATGTCACTTCCGCAT